GTTAGGCTGTGTTATTTCTATTTTGCTGTTAAGGCAACTGAGGCTCAGAGCAGTTAAGTGTTTTTCTCAAGGTCATGAAGCTTCATCAGTCCTATAGATGCCTCTCACAACCGTCTGACTCCTTCTCATCTTACCACTTTCTGGGCTTTTCCAGGAGTCTTCTCCTGATATTCTCCTGGTCTTCCTGCTTCCAAACCAGCCTCCTCTCTTCTCTCTTCCAAAGAGTTGCACAGGCGTGTTGAGAAGCAGGTTCGATCGCGTCACTCCTCTGCTGAGCATCCTTCAGTGGTTCTTGGTCTTGCAGGCCCTCAGTGACCTGGACCTGGCTGACCTTCTGACTTCTTCTCTGGCCCTGGAAGCACAATTTGTTCCTGCCATATGGAATTATGTGTGGTCCCCGAAATATCATGCTGCTTCAGGTCTCCATGACTTTACCTGTGCTGCTGCCTCTGCCTAAACTTCGCTTCCGCTTCTTGTTTCGTTAAACCCCGCTAACTCTGAATTCTCGCCTTCCTTTAAACCTCACTTGATGTCCTACCTTCTCAGACTCATTTGAGTGGCCTTATTGGGTGCTCTTACAGCCTGTGGCTTATGTCCCTATTTTTTGTCATGCTGGTGGTGCTGTTGACTTGCCTCCCTTCCCCTCTGGATTAAGAGCTCTTAGAAAGTAGAGAGCAGTGTGTATCAGGACCTAACATGGTGTGCATTCCACTGTGGAGGCTTACTAAGTGTTTTTACTGGAGATGGTACGAACACTAAATGGTACACCTTTTCTTCTTGCCTTAGAATCCTATCAGGCAAATCCCTGCAAATCGCCTTTTTGCTTTACTGTCTTATTCAGACACTTGGCTGCAATCCATCAGACACTTCTCATCTGTTAAATATAATTGTATGCTTTGTTGGAATAGCCAGATGTTAAGCACAGTGCAAAGCCATTTCATCCAATGGAAAGGTTGTAAACCTGTTTACATTGGCAATTAACCACAAGTATTTAAATGACGGGTGAAGTGGACAGGCCTCTCTGTGGGTAAACCCTGGAATAATGGATCTTCCTGGGGGAAGGGCATTGAGGAGCTGGGGCTGGGCTGGAGTTGCAGACTTCTGAGGAGTAGAAGTGACCTTGTACTACCTGCTCAAGATTCTTTTGGTGATACGTGAAAGTTGTTATCCCAGGAGGGCCCACCCGGATGTCCCAGATTTTTCAAGGATTTAGGCAGAACATGTTTTGAATGAGATTCTCTTCCCGTTTCAGAGGGTGGTGCCAGCATTCACCCAGGCACCCAGGTTGGAAATCTAGAAGCCAAGCAGCCATCTAGTTCTGCCCATTTTATCTCTCAAATATTTCTTAAATATTCTCCTTACTTCCAGGCCTGTTACCGCTGACCAAGTACATATACCCTCATCAGCTCTTGGCTGGGTTCCCTCCACAAGGCTTCCTAACTGTTGGTCTCTAATTGTAGGCATGGCCCTCCCTATTTACCTTCCCATCAACAGCTGGTGTGATCACCATATATTACCCATATCTGACCATGCCCTTCTCCTGTTTAGAGCCTTCCAAGGGTTCCCTATCCCCTGCTGGATGAAGTCTAAGTCCCTTGGCATATTATACAAGGCCTTCCTTCATTGTTACCTGTCTGCTTCTCGAACCTCTTGACCCCACCAATTCTGGCCTGGAAATGTCGGATCCTTCCATACTGACTGATTTGCAGATGCTTACACTCATCCTCTCGTTTCTAAACTGCATATTATTATCTGTGTTCGTTCCACTGCCTGGGATTCCCTTTTCACATTTCTCTCCCTGGAATAATTCCATATACTTAAAAAAATATTTTTAATTGAGGTGAAATTACATAACATAAAATTAACCGTTTTAAAGTGAACACTTTAGCGGAATTTAGCATGTTCACAATGTTGTGCAACCACCACATAGTTGCAAAACATTTTCATCACCCCAAAATGAAAGCCTATATCCTTTAAGCAGTTATTTCCCATTTCCTCCTTCCCCCAGCACCTGGCAACCACCAATATGCTTTCTGTATCTGTGGATTTACCTATTCTGGATGTTTTGTATCTGGCTTCTTTCATTTAGTGTAATGATTTTGAGGTTCATCTTTGTTGTAGCATTTCCTTTGATTCAAAAAGTTTTAAATTTTGATGAAGTCCAATTTACATATTTTTTTTTGCTGCTCATGCTTTTTTTTTTTTTTAAAGATTTTATTTATTTATTTATTTTCCCCCCAAAGCCCCAGTAGATTGTTGTATGTCATAGCTGCACATCCTTCTAGTTGCTGAATGTGGGATGCGGCCTCAGCATGGCCGGAGAAGCGGTGCGTCGGTGTGCTCCCGGGATCCGAACCCGGGCCGCCAGCAGCGGAGCGCACGCACTTAACCACCAAGCCACGGAGCCGGCCCCAACTGCTCATGCTTTTGGTGTCATATCGAAGAGTACACTGAAAAATCAAAGGTCATTAAGATTTACTCCCATGTTTTCTTCTAAGCATGTTATAGTTTTAGCTCTTATATTTAGATCTTTGATCCATTTTGAGTTAATTTTGTGTATTGTGTGAGCTATGGGTCTAACTTCATTGTTTTGCATCTAGATAAACAGCCTTTCTAGCACTATTTGTTGGAAAGACTATTCTTTCTTTTTGGAATGGTCTTGGCACCCTGGTCAAAAATCAATTGGCTATAGTTGTGTGATTTTATTTCTGGACTCTCAATTCTATTCCATTTGCCTGTCTGTTTATCCTTATGCCAGTACCACACTGTTGTGGTTACTATAGTTTGCAGTAAGTTTTGAAATTGGGAAATGTGAGAACTACAACTTTGTTCTTCTTTTCCAAAACTGTGTTGGCTATTCAGGAACCCTTGCAATTCCATATGAATCTGAGGCTACCCTTTTCCATGCACATATAACACCCCCTCACGCTCCTCCATAGATTGGCTCTGAGCTGAGGCACTTCTCCAATGCTAAGCCTGCCACCTGCACCTCTGCTTCACCTCCACCTCCTGTTTGTGTGGAGCCCAAAGATCTGCCAGAAGTGCAGGCCTGGCGTCCTCCCAGGGCTCTTCTAGCCTGCCTCTGGCCCTGGGCATGTGCATTGCACTGTAGATTCCCCAGGAGATGTGGTAGGCCTTCAAAGGCCTGACTCCCCTAAGAATATTCCTCCCCAGCCTCCTCCTTTCTAGCTTTTGGATCTGTCTGCTGTTGCCCAATCCACGGTCTCTTGCCTTAGCTGGTCTTGTGTAGTATGTATGTTTAATCGCTTTCTACTGATGCTGTCTGGAGAGCCACTCCATCCCAAGTGAGTGAAACCAAGGGAAGCCTCTGCACAAGTCTCTCAAGGAATCACCAGGCAGATTAAATGCACAGCCACAAACTTTGAGAACAAGGTCTACACTGCCCCTCTGACACCAGCAAGCACATTAGGAGTGCGGGTCACTTCCCACTGTTACTGCTGAGCTGAGGAATGGAAGATGGTAGGCAAGTAAGCAAAAATGCTACAGCACTTTATTACCTAATTTTAGCAGACTTTTTCTTCATTAAATACTCCTCTAGTTGCTGTAATTTTTTGACAAGATTCCAGAATTCCAAAAAAGTTATTTCTCTCAGTTTTTGCCAGCTTAATGACTGCTTCAGTGGAGGGACCAATCCTGAAGCACCATACTCTACTATTTCTGTGATATCACTACCTATTCATGTTTTAAACCTATCAGATGGATTTTTTCCTCTAGAAAACCTCCAATTCTCCTGATGCTTAATTTCCTTTTTTAAAATACTACTTATGTCCATTAATAGGCTTTTATTATTGCACTGATCGTATTATATTACAATTTATTTGTTGTCACACTTAACTTCTTTATTAGATTGGAAGCTTCTTGAGAACAGGGATGACATTTCACAAGGGCCTCTGGCACTTAGAAAAGAGCCTCGGTCTTGGAACTGTGCCTGGCACATAATAGTTGCTCAATAAATACTTTCTTAATTGAATTGATATCAATTTCCTAGTTCACAGATAGGCATATAAAATTGGTTTATAATAAAATTATTATATTCTAAGTAACAAAGTGCTCAAGAATACATTAGGAATATTACAATAAAGACAACTGTGCTCATTTGCTGAGAGAATAACTTCTTTCCTCACAGCTATTTCAGACTCTTTTGTGTTGTAAACCATGCTGAGAGGAAATTCATTTTATCTCTACATAAAGAGGCTGGCAGAGAGAAGGCACCATAAACCAGGATAGCACGGAGGGAAACTCTCTCATAACCTAGCCTATTCTGGCCTGTGGGGTGATAGGCAGACAGCAGTGGGAACCCATAACAGATCTTCTTCTTCTTTTCCCTCCTCCTCTCTCTGGTCATGCTCCTTCTCCTTTCCTCAAAGTTCAGTCATTATAATTTTCTGGCTCTGTTAGGTGTTATTCATATTTTTTACCCCACATAATTCTCACATGAGCATGATAGGTACACAGAGTATCTCTGCCAGCCATGTCCTGTATCTAGTACAGGGGCCACTCAGACATGGTGTCTAAATGAATGAGTGTGCTGAGGAGGAGGGTGCGTGGGGGGTAGCATGTTAGCCTTTCTCCAGGTAAAATTCCATACTACTGCCTTTGTGTTCATGTCTATCCTGAATGTGTCTCTAACCATTGGGCATACTTAGTCTACATGTCTTGTCTTCCCACAAAACTAAGAGCTCCTCAAGGTCAATAACCATGTCTTATTGATTTTTGTGTCTCTAGGGATAAAGCAATTCATCCAGGAAATATTTATAAATGAGTGAATGAATGAGTATACTAGCAAGGCAAATTCTGGAGTGATTTAAGTTAGGCAGAGAAATCTGGACTGGATAAAGCTGGAAATAAAGGACATTGAGGTTTTCTGAGCAGGAAGAGAATGTGATTCTATTCTGCAGCAAAAGTTATCAGCGTACCCCACTTGTATCTTGTGAGGTCATAGTACAAGTGGGCCAAACACTCAAAATATGTCTTGAAACCAACTGTGGAGTTTCACCAAAGAAATCTGTGAGCCCTAGTTGGAGAAGAGATTCCTTTTCTTACTTTTCTCAATTTTCTTTTCTGTCAGAAAATATTATTAGGATACAAGACTGAGAGATGTTTTTTCTCCCCTTAGTAGTATATTGCAGTGGCTTGCAGGCTACCTACCTGCTTCCAGTTACACTAAAGGCGTCATTAAATGCCAATAAAACCTTGCTTTCATTATACTTATCAAAGATGAGGCCTTGATATGCACCTTGTTGCACTTGTTTGCAAACAGTTTGAACATACTGTGTTGAGATACACGTCAGTCATCGTGAGCTAATTCTTCTCTACTGTTGAAAGTATCTTGAGTTAGAATGGCGTAGTCTCTCTCTCAAGAATTATTCCACACTGCTAATTTAGATTAAGAAAATAATTAGGGAGACATTTTGGTTGCTATACATTTTAAATTGCACATCAGATTGCTGTTGGTATGAACTGCTCTCCACTTGCTTTTATGCCCTGAGGCTCAGGCTGCCTGTTTTTCTCACACCTGGAGGAAAGTTCTCTCAGATACCACGTACTCTGGAACTTTGGACATCTTTGCTTCTGTACTGATTGATTCTGCAGACTTAGTTTGAAAACTTTCCTTTGTGACCATCTCTACTTGATGCTGCATGAAAAGGAGGGAAACTAACATTTGTTGCACAACTTCTAGGAAACGCACACCAAAAATTTTACTTAATCTTTGTAAAAAAGCCTGTGAGGTAGACGCTGTGATCCCTTCTCCACAAATGGGAGAATCCAGTTGAGGGAAATTAGAACACTTGCTTCAAGTGTGTTTGTTATTTTTCTCCCTGCCAACACCACAGGCCGTGCACACATTCTCTGCCCTTCTCTGCCTTGCTCTGTATCTGGAGGCCGGCTGCTATGGGCTGAGTTACCTGGACTCCCACATCAGCTAGTTTCCAGTTGGCTTGGTCAAAGGGAGGCATTAGCAGGAGGCTGGAGGGTGGGAGGAGAGTTTGAGGTATTTATTCAACCTGCTTCTTACTCTCGGCCACGTTTCTGGGAGTGGCTGCTTCTCTCCATGACTTCGTCAGATGTCAGGCGGCTCTTCTTGGTGACTTGGGCTCTCAGTGGTGCCCAAGTGCCCAAGTTGTGCTCTCTGGTGACAGGGCCTCTCCTACTCCTTCAGGCCCAGGGATCGTAATGATGTCCACATGTTGGTAGTCTCTGACCACCTCAACATCTCTAGATTCCTTGATCATAGCCCACACTCTGAAAATTAAATTGTATTAAAGCATCTAAGCCATCTGAGATGGAGTCTGTTTTCTGCAGGAACTCTTAATAAGACTCCACGTATCACAGCTGATAAATACTGTGTGGAATACTGGGGGCCCTGGTCTATTTCCCAAGACTGTATTCAGTCCACTGGCCTGTGCTGTCTCATTCTTTCATCTTCATGTAAGGTGATTACAGGAGCCTCTCTCTGAAGGGAGACGCTGAGAGCGCTGACTTCCTCAGCAGTGGTGCCGGTCACTAATATTAGTTAACTTAAGAAGCAGACACAGTATGTAACCTAGAGTTTTGAAAATTCAGTTGGGAAGGCAAGAATAACATTAGTAAAACTGAAAAAAGAAACATGAATGATTAGACAACATTGATTTATGTTGTACTTGATAAAATTTTGTTTCAGATCCATTGTTGCAACCACACTCTCAGAAATTAGTTTCTTCCTTTGTCCTCGGAATATTTTTCCACTCAGTTTTGGCTTTCCGGGCTCACAAGAAATTACATTCAGTCACAGGAAATCTAGCAACTCTCCACTCTTTCATACCTCATCTCAGTGCTATCCGGCGCTTTTCTCCAGTCTAGGGGATGGAATTAGAGATAGAAGTGGCTTACCAGTGTTGTTTCTGCTGCGCCTCTACCTCTCTTGACCTCTTTGGGCTTCAATTCCTTCTTTTCACTTCTGCTTCTTTCACATATTATGTCTAAAATTATTACTCTACTCAAAGACCCTTTGGGGCTACAATGTTTTCTTTTAGGTAGATGTTTTTCCTGCCCAAACTCTGAGGGGCAATATATGTTTAATTTCAGTAGTCTTTTGGCTTCTCATCCCCATTTCACATATTTAGCTGATATGCCTCACAATGTTTGTTCTTCCAGCTTTGCTGCTGAGATATAATTGACTTGTAATAAAGTGCACGTATTTGAAGTGTGCAATATGATGAGTTTTAATGTGTGTGTGTCCTTAAGTAATGAAGACCCCAGGACCACACTATCTTGATTACTGTAGCTTTATAGCAAGTCTTGGAGTTGGGTAGCATCAGTCCTCCCACTCTGTTTTTCTCCTTCAATGCGGTGTTGGCCATTCTGCGTCTCTTGCCTCTCCATGTAAACTTTAGAATTAGTTTGTTAATATCTGCAAAATAACTTGCTGTGATTTTGATTGGTATTGCATTGAATATATAAATCATGTTAGGAATAAGTGACATCTTAACAATATTAGTCTTCTTATCTATGAATATTAAATATATCTCAATTTGTTTACATCTTTATTTACTTTCATCAGAGTTTTGTAGTTTTCCTCAAATAGATCTTGTACATATATTGTTAGATCTATACCTTAATGTTTCTTTTATTATACTAGTATAAAAGATATCATGTTTTTAATTTCAAATCTAATTGTTTATTAGTGACATATAGGAAAGCAATTATGTATGTTAACCTTGTATTCTGCAACCTTGCTATACTCATTTATTAGTTGCAAGTGTTTTTTTCCAATTCTTTGAGATTTTCTACATAAACAATCATATTATTTGTGAACAAAGACAGTTTACTTCTTCCTTCTCAATCCATATATTTTGTATTTCTTTTTCTTGTTTTATTACATTAGCTAGGACTTCCAATACCAGCAGCAGTAAGAGGGGACATCATTGCCTTCTTCCCAATCTTAGGTGGAAAGCATCTAATTACTCATCATTAAATATGACCTTAGTTGTGGGTTTTTATAGATGCTGTTTAGCAAAATGACAAAGTTCTCCTCTATTACTAGTTTGCTGAGAGTTTTTATCATGAATATATGTTGGCTTTTAGAAAATGCTGTCTTCTTAATCTACCAATATGATCATATGGTTTGTCTTATTTAACCTGTTGATGTGATGGATTACGTTAATTTATTTTTTTGAACGTTGAACCATCTTTCCATACCTAGAATAAATCCCTCCTGGTCGTGCTATATAATTTTGTTATTACATTGTTAGATTTGATTTGCTAATATTTTGTTGAGGAGTTTTGCATGTATTGCAGAAGAATTTTATATAAATGCAGATGGGAGGAGAATCTGGCTTCTTTTACTTAGCATAACTATTTTGAGACTCAAGTATGTTGTTGCTGGTATCAGTATTATTCTTTTCATGCTGTTCTGAAAGTTTATAATAATATGTCCAAATGAAAAAATTTTTAAGTATATTTTTCTGGGAATTCTATGAAACTTTTCCGTCTGAAGTCTCATGACCTTGCTCAGCTCCATTAGTCAGAAGTTGGAATTTCTGGGTTGATTGTCTGCCTTTGTATTTTTTCTCATATTTATCTTTTTTCTTTTTACAGAAAGCTAGATTTTTTTCTTTTTTACTTTATTTTAAAATTATTTTTTAACTTCTAGCAATCACATTTAGTTTGAAAAATCTCTTTTAGTTCTCTGGTTATTCACCTTGATAACACAACTTTGTTATTGATCTATCTGAAATTTTTTCCTGGAAATGTTAATTAGAGGATATGTTTTGTTATTTATGTGTTTACTCATTTACTTATTTACTTATGTTTCATGATCACTCTGTTTCCTTTAGGGACTTTTTTTTCTGTTTATTTACTACTATATCTTTCCCTCACATTGCAAGCTGTTTACAAATATCTTGTAACCATATGAAGATATCATATGGAAGATATAAAATCAAGTATTTTACTTATCATACCAAGAATAAATGGACTAAATTCTCCACTAAAAGAAGAAGACCAAAGATTGGATTAAACAACGAGAACTATGTGGTATTTATAGCTATAATACTGAATCAAAATGAAAAAAAAAATGTTTGACAATGAAGGGGTAGTAAAAGAGTTAACAAATGCAAATCCAAAAAATGTACATGTAGCAATATTAAATGGGGTATAATTTAAGTTTTAAGCACTAAACAGGATAAAGAGCAACCTTGTGTAATAGGATAATACATATATACTGATTAGAACAGTGTCTGGTATGCAATAAATGCTCAGTATTTCTTAACTATATTATATGATATTATGTTATGTTATATGATTCAATTTTAATAAATTTCTGTGGCCAAACAGCTTGTAGCTAAATTTAAAGTTTAACCAATTCCTTTTGGAAATCTAAGGAGATATGGATCAACATACAATTATTGTGGTGAAGGATTTCCATAAACACAGTAAGGAAGTCAAATAACTGAAAATTATAATTAGGATTTTCTAATATGGATATTTTGAATTGAAAATATTTCCCAATACCTTCTGGTAGGGTTTGAATACTAAATTTCTGTGCCTCTGAGAAAGGGAGAACTAATTCGGTAAGTAGGTAATAAAATTTGAAAAAGAAGCAAAAACTACATAGGTAGAGGAAGAAAATATTTTCCTGAGACTAAAAGAAGGTGAGAGCTAAGGAGTGGAGCTAAGAGAGGGAAGGAGGGTATTACTAGCAAGGAACTTAGAAGTTTTTCTTGAGAAAGTGGCTAAAAATGGGAGAAGGTCCTGTACCCAGAACGAGCCTTTGGAAGGGTCACTGGTAATAGCATTATTCCAAGAAGATGTGTGGTAGCTGAGTTAATCACCAACAACCTGCCCAGCTTTCTCTTGAGCAATGTCTTCCCATTCCCTGTGCTCAGGGGCTTTGATCTTGATTTCTTCCTTCAGCACCAGGAGATGGCTTTACTGCAGTAACACTTGTGACTTTATCCACAACTACCTGGGGGAAATTGCACCTCCCTTTGCTGCCACACCCAAGAGATCTGTGTGCGTGTGTGTATTTTTGAGCATCACAGTCAACTATCGAAGTTTGGGGAAAAACTTCTGTACAACCACACTTTGGTGGGTTTAAAGATGCGAGCTTGGACCCGATGAGTGAGGGAATTTTTAGTGAAATTGCTACTGCCCACCCTTTGCCATTTATTAAGTGAAACCTCAGGAGTATTTCATAAACACTCTGTCTGAATTTCCTTGTGTGTAAAATAGGAAGAATAATTTCTATTTCCCAGGGTTGTCATGGGAAGAATACATGAGATAATATATATCAAGTTTCTTATAATCTGTCTGGAAACTGAGAGATGACCAATAAATTATGGACATTATTATACTCAAAGCTCTTAGTTAAAGACCCTGCTCAATCTTCATCAGACTTATCCCAATTTCTCTTTAAGTGCTGTTGGCATAGACTATTGTCTCTTTTCACAATGGTAGTACCAGGTTAAATTTATCTTTCTATAGGAATGTTATTGTGTTTTATTATTATTGAGAAAATCAGACACTTTTTGGCTTGGGTTCTATTGAGTGTCCCATCCTGATACTTTCAGAAATCCAGTGTTTACCTAAATGTGTTCTCCGTAATACGGTACAGCAAGATGCACTTTAGAAAAAAAGTTTTCATGGTCAACAAGTGTGACTAATGTTATACGCTGTGCATGACATTTTTTTTACCCTGCTCTTCTGGAGATGTGCTGAACATGTAAATATATTAAAGCTAAACTTTGTTTAGCTTAAGAGTTTTAAAACCACTTTGAATACGGAACAAATTTCCCCCCATGAAATATCTAGTAACATTCTAAGGCTGTATTGTTCCATGGATCACATTTTGGGAAATGCATCATTAAGCAAAGCCAGTGTTTTCAACATGCTTAATGGCAACATGAGAGTCAGAAAGCAAGGTGTTATGCTATTGGGCAGTCGCGACCACAAGTCAATACTCGCAGCTCCAGGGGAGGGCCTGTCACTCTTGATCTACACTTGCTTTAGTATCTTGCTTTACAAGATGATTGATGCTTGAAATGATTTCACATTACCCTACATTAGCAAAGACTTGTTCTGACATTCCACTGAGAGTCAATCAGAAATCCAATTTGAAGTTAAGTCAATAAACTCCTGGTTCCTCCTTCCCTCTTATTTATTAATAGTATTAATGGGATCCAAAGGCCTTTCTTGTTCTTTCCAAACCCTGCCAATAAAAAGTTATACATCTTATGTATAAGATCCCACTCTGTTCTAAGTATATTGCGTCACATAGAATATTCACGTAATTCTATGATAGTATCCAATTTAACAGACAAAGAAACAAAGGCTAAGAGAGTTTTAAAAGCTTGTTTATGGTCAAATAGCAAGTAGAGCCAGAATTCCAATGTATGTATGTATTTCGGATTCAACCACAACATACTATGTTCCACTCCAAATCATACCTCTTCAGAAAGCCTTATCTGCCCATATTTATTGGTTAACTGCAAATATTCTGTGCAAAAACCACCCCAAAACTAAGTTTGGTTTATGACAATCATTTATCCTCATGGATCTGCTCTGTGAGTCTATTACTCTTTTTAGAGATGAACAGGCTGGCTGGGGCAAGTTCTTCTCACGGTGATGGCAGAGACCCAAGAGAGCAAGAAAATCATGAAGATGTTTTTCAAACTTTGATCAATTCACGTGCACTAACATTCCATTTTCTGAAGCAAGTCGCATGGCCAAGCCCAAAGCCAGGAGACAGGAAATTACACTCTGCTTCTGTAGTAGGTAGAAGTGCAAAGCCACATGCCATGTAATGTAACATATTCACAGGATTTGGGGATTAGGCTGTGGACAGCTTTGGGGGCCATTATGCCACAGTATATATTTTTTGGCATTCTAATAGCTGTTTAGTGGTTTTTACTGTGGTTTTAATTTGCATTTCCCAAATGATTAATTATTTTGACCATCTTTTCACGTGCTATTTGCAATCTGTATATTTCTTTTGGTGAAGTGTCTGTTCAAAATTCACTATTATATATATTGGGTCTATACTTTTCTTATTATTGAGTTTTGAGAATTCTTTATAGAGTGTGGATACAAATCATTTATCAGATGTGTGAGGGGAAAATAATTTTTCAAATATGTGGCTTATTATTTTCATTCTCTTAAGGGTGTCTTTCAAATATCAGAAGTTCTTAATTTTGATGAAATGCAAGTTATAATTTCTTGTTCCTGCTTTTGACATAGTATCCAACAAAACTTTGCCTAGCTCAAGGTCTTGAAGATTGTCTCCTATGGTTTGTTTTAGAAGTCTTACAGCTTTAGATTTTACATTTAGGTTTATGATCCATTTTGAGATAATTTTTGTCTAGAGTGTAAGGTATGGATCAAAGTTTCATTCTTTTGTTTAAAAT